CCGGCGGATCCCGGAGCGCTCCCGGTTCCGCGGGACCCGCCGGGCTCCTCCCGGTCCCCCGGGATCCATCGGGCCCGGGCAGCATCCCCGAGGGCGGAGGCCCGATCTGCATCCCGGCCGGTGTCGGGTTCCGCCGGGAACCGGATCCACCGGGAAACGGGATCCCGCTGGGAACCGGATCCCGCCGGGAACCGGATCCCGCCGGCGAGCGAAACCCGACCCGGGGCCGAGAGGGGGGCTCTGAAGGGGTCCCGGGGTGCGGCTGTGGGGTCCCCGCGGTGCCGGGGCTGCAGCGGGGTGGGAGGGCCGGCGGGTCCTGGAGGAACAAAGCCGGGGGTCTCGGGGGTCTCGGAGGTGCTGACGTGGGGGTCCCGGTGTCCCGGGGGGTCCCGGCTGTACCGGAGTCGGGGTGCCATGGGGGTCCCGGCACGTTCAGGGTCCCGGTGCCTCTGTGGTCCCGTGCACAGGGAGGGTCCCGGTGGTCCCGCACTGACCGGGGGGGTCCCGGTGGCCCCGGGACTGACCCGGGGGGGATCCCGGTGTTCCGACACTGACCCGGGGGGTGATCCCGGCACTGACCGGGGGGGTCCCGGTGGTCCCGCACTGACCCGGGGGGATCCCGGTGTTCCCGGCACTGACCCCGGGGGGTGGTCCCGATGTTCCCGGTGGTCCCGCACTGACCCGGGGGTGTTCCTGCACTGACCCGGGGGGATCCCGGTGCTCCCAGTGTTCCCGGCACTGACCCGGGGGGTGGTCCCGGTGTTCTCGGTGTTCCCGCACTGACCCCGGGGGTGGTCCCGGTGTTCCCGCACTGACCCCGGGGGTGGTCCCGGTGTTCCCGGTGGTCCCGCACTGACCCCGGGGGGTGGTCCCGATGTTCCCGGTGTTCCTGCACTGACCCGGGGGGTGGTCCCGGTGTTCCCGCACTGACCCGGGGGGTGGCCCCGATGTTCCCGGTGTTCCTGCACTGACCCGGGGGGATGTTCCCGGTATTCCCGCACTGACCCGAGGGGTGGTCCCGATGTTTCCGGTGGTCCCGCACTGACCCGGGGGTGGTCCCGGTGGTCCCGCACTGACCCGGGGGTGGTCCCGGTGGTCCCGCACTGACCGGGGGGCTCCGGCAGAGTTCAAGGAGGCGTTCCAGCTCTTTGACCGCACGGGCGATGGGAAGATCCTGTACAGCCAGTGCGGGGACGTGATGCGGGCGCTGGGCCAGAACCCCACCAACGCCGAGGTCATGAAGGTGCTGGGCAACCCCAAGAGCGATGGTGAGCTGGGGTAGGGGGGTTCCCCCCATCCTTTCACCCCCCTCAGGACCCCCGGGACCCCCACCCACGGCCCCTGTCGCGCAGAGATGAACGTGAAGACGCTGAGCTTCGAGCAGTTCCTGCCCATGATGCAGACCATCGCCAAGAACAAGGACCAGGGCTGCTTCGAGGATTACGTGGAGGGGCTGAGGGTTTTCGACAAGGAGGGCAACGGCACCGTCATGGGGGCTGAGATCCGCCACGTCCTCGTCACCCTGGGTGAGCCTCGGACCCCCTGGGACCCCCAAATCCCCGGGGTTTCCAGCAGCGAACGGATCCTGCTGGGAAAGGAGCGGGGAGGGGTCTGGAGGGGATCCCGGGGATTTGGGTGTGGGGTCCCAGTGGCTCCTGGAGGGACAGAAATGGGGGGGTTCCGGTGCAGTGGGGGTCCCTGGGGTGCTGCCTGGGGGGGTCCTGGTGTTTTGGTGGTCCTGGAGATGCTGATGGGGGTCCTGAGGGGTCCCTGGGGGGGGGTCCCGGTGTCTTGGTGGTCCTGGAGAGGCTGATGGGGGTCCTGAGGGGTCCCTGGGGTGCTGGCCTGGGGGGGGTCCCGGTGTCTTGGTGGTCCTGGAGAGGCTGATGGGGGGTCCTGAGTGATGGGGGGGTCCTGAGGGGTCCCGGAGGTGCTGCCTGGGGGGTCCTGGTGGCTCCAATCTGGGGCTCTGAGTCCCCCTCAAAGCCCAGGGGGTGCCTGGCAGCCCCGGGGGACCCCCGGCGTGTCCCCCCCAGACCCCCAGGGTGACACTCGGGTGTCCCACAGGGGAGAAGATGACGGAGGAAGAGGTGGAGCAGCTCGTGGCCGGGCACGAGGACAGCAACGGCTGCATCAACTACGAGGGTGAGGCTCGGGGGTCCCGGGGGGGG